CATATTGAGGCCATACTCTTAAGTGAAATAAACAGGACACGTGTAAATACCAAATAGTTTCTCTAGTGTGAGAAACTGAAAGTGTAAATAAGGATTAAAATGATTAAAATGAATAATTGATAATTTGAAATAAGAAAAGGTCCAAGGGTTTGGGGATGGTGGGAGGGGAAGGGGATAGGGAAGAATGGAAAGGAAAAATGTGAAAAAAAATGGAATCAAACTGTGTAAATAGGGAAGGGTGGAGGGGGTGAAGGGCACACGGGTAATGGGGAAAAAAATAAGAACTAAGATACATCATGTACAAGCACCCAATGATAAATGTAAATGTATTGTATACCTAAAATGTACCAATAAAAGAATTTTTTACAAAAAGAACTTAGGGCAGTTCATAAATGTATAAGAAATATCTAAAATAAATTATACACAAAGCAAAAAATAAAAGTTGTGAAGTAGGACATGATGTTGAATGTTGGGGCTGTTTTATACAAGTTAAAACTGAGTTTAGTTCTGAATTTGAGGAGGCAAAGGCAAAAAGGAGAAATCAATTTATTTTGGGAAGCATCATGGTATAACAGAAAGAATGCTAAATAGCTCTATGCCTGATTCTACATCTGTAAAATTAGTAATAATAATTTTATCTAATCTAATAATATTACATGATTGTTATGTCAAATTAGGTAATGTGAAAGCATGCTTTAAACTTCAAAATGTGGTTCACTGTTATTGTTCTTATTGACTTAATTTTTTAAAGTAATAAATTTGTCTGAGGAAACATTTTTCTTGCCTGTTCACACCCAAGAATGCTTATGTTACAAAATTGAAAAACTGAAGATTTCATGTGTTCAGGCAGGGTTTTGAAAAAGACAAATCCATACAAATTCCCAATGATAAATGTGATCATAATGTATATCCAAAATGTACCGATAAACTCAATAAATAAAAAAGAAAAAGACAAATTCTATTTACATAGGTGTTTCTTATGATAATTTCTATATAAGCTTAAGGAATTATATAAAATCATAATTCAGTGAAGGCATTTCTGTGGAAAGGTTTTGAAATGGTATGTTCTAAGTACATTTCTTTCTGATGGTTTACTTAATACAGAAGTTAAGAAGTTGGGTAGTCTATCTATTATCCTGTCTCATAACTACAGGAACACTCAAATCATCCTTTTAGTAAGTACCAGACTGCAGTTTGAGACTGCATTTTCTACAAAAAACACCAAGCACCAAAACACTGTGATGCTGACTAAATAGAAACCTTCCTATGATACCAAATATGCAAGATGCAGTTAATGTTCAATTGCAAAACTTGAATTGTTGGTCAGCTTGTTCAGGAGAGCATCACTTCTACACTGATGGGCTACTGACGTAACTATAAACTAGGACTTTTTTTTTTTTTTTTTGTAGTTCTGGTCACTGAACCAGGGCCTTGTACATGCTAAGCAAGTATTCTACCAATGAGCTACATCCTCAGCCCATTTTACTGTTTTTTATCTTGAGACAGGGTCTTCTTGAGTTGCTCAAGGTGGCCTTGAACTTGCAATTCTCCAATAGCACCTCCTGAGTAGCTGGGATTACAGATGGGTACTACCATGCTTGGCAAGCCATAGTGTTAAGTAACTGAAATAAGGAGTCATAGGAATTAATCATAAACCCATCTGTGAAACATATACTTGTTAGTATGTTTTTTTAAAAAAAACTGTAGTAGAAAAATCACTTCACTGAGAAATAACTAAATTCTGGTCCCAGATTCTCCACTAAATAAGTGACTTTGGACAAAACATTTAACCCATATGAGCACCAGTTTGCTCATTTATAAAATGGAAGGATTTTAGATTAGGAGTTTTAAGGTTTCTTCTACCTCTAAAATACCTTATGGAATTTAATTATTGTTAAATGAGAAACTTCATGAGAGACTTTTAGTATCACAGAGGAAACAATACAAAATAATGACACAATTATTTATTGTATCAAACAAAACAATCTGTTTTAATTAAGCAACAGGTCAAAACTCAGTTTGTACCAAAGCAAACCTTAACTTGTCTTTTGAATTTGCTTATGAAAGTCGTGTACATTTAAAAGAAAGTGACCTGGCATCACCCAACATTAGGTAACAGCAATAGGGTGTGGCTCAAAATATGCACTTCAGCATATGCAAAATTCAGTGAGGGAAAACCTTGTTGCTATAAGTTACTTCAGAAATAAACATGTAGCTTCATTCAGTGAGGGGTGAGCCCAATTTCAGCACATAATAAAATGAAGATCAACCTCCCTTGGAACCACAACTTCCTATTATCAAACAAAGTCACCTCCTCCTAAAACACAACAGAAACAAAGTAAAATGTTTATTCTACAGAGTTTATTAAGGGCTAATATTTCATAAGGTTTGAACCAATAATTGTATTCTATAGTTGTTTAACAAGGAAATAATCCTAATATAGAAAAAAATTTCATGCCTAAGAATGTCCATCATAGTTATTTATAAGAGGAAATTAGAAACAACATAAATTTTATCAAAAATAAAGGAATGATTAGATAAAGCTGTAGTATTTAATGGTCTGAAACTCAGCCATTAAAAACAAAGACTATATGGAAGCACTGAAAGGTGTTCAAAAAGAGGCCAAAGAAAAATCTTACAGAAATATATATATAACATTTCAGCTGAGATTAAAATACATAAATAAAACATGGGGGGAAAAGATACTAGAAGCCAGTCGTGGTGGCACACACCTGTAATCCTAGCACTCTGAGAGGCTGATGTAGGAGGATCACAAGTTTAGGCCCAGCCTGGGCATTTAGCAACTTAGAGAGACCTTGTCTCAAAAAATAAAAAAAGGACTGGGGAATGTAGCTCAGTGCTAAAACCTTGGTTCAACCCCAGTTAAAAAAAAAAAAAAAAAGATTCTAGAAGCAAATACATGCTCACGTTAACCATAATTTCATATGAGGAGAAGCAGTATAGGCAATTTTTTTACTTTTCTGTTTCCCAAATTTTAGTGAATATGCTTTACTTTTAGTAATGTTTAAATAACTAAATATAAAATACTTTTTTTCATTCCTCTTCAAAATACCCCTCTAAAGTAAATAGGGTACAAGTCAAGGTTATTTAGTATAGAACAACCTATCATGGAAGCTTTGGAATGCCCTAACTAGGTCTTTTTAAATAGGATGGATTTTAAAGGAAATCCTTCAAAGGAAAAGTTGTTTTTGTTTAATCTTGGGAGGGGAGAGGAAGGGAAGGAGGGTAGGCGGAGGGGGGAAAGATAGGAAGAGAAGGGGAAGGAAAAGAGAAAGGAAGGAAGGAAGTAAAAGGGGGAGGGGGAGAAAGTGAAGGAGGGAGGGAAGAAGAAAGAAGGGAAAAAAGAAAGAAAGAAAATGACTAAACCACATGGCACTTCTTGGATATACAGCCTATCCTTCCAGCAACAAGTACATCTAGATTTAGGAACCTAAAATAATTTACCTAGGATCTCTACCAGTTAGTGAACTAGACCTAAACAATTCCAGGTTCCACAGTGACCATTTTAATGGTGTAGAAATTAAGACTTTGGCATGGTGATTTATCAGCTAAAAGTTGGAGCTTATGTTTTTAAAATGACAGTGCTCATAATGTTTTGTTTTTAAATTGAAAGCCACGTAAAACCACTGAACTTGCCAGCACACACACATAAGCCCCAGGCAGTATTAAATTACTCATTCTTCTTGTTACCTGTTTTTCCAGGTTTCTTTTCTTTTTAAATTTTGTGTACTTTAGCATCCACAGGCATATACATACACTATATATACATACATTTCCCTAGTTTTCCAGCCCCATACTTGTTTTCTTTGAGATGTGACTACTTAAAATAGTAAGAATACTGACTTTTTGAAAGGCTTCTCTTAGTAAAAAGACCTTTTAAAATTTAACTTAAGGAATAACTAATGCTGTATGTGTGTGTGTGTGTGTGTGTGTGTGTGTGTGCGTGTGCGTGTGTGTGCTGCTAGGGATCAAACCCAGGCCTCAGGTTCTACCACTGAGCCCTAATTTATATCCTTATCCCTAAATTATTTTTTCTTTTTTTTGTTTTAGTATATGTTTGCAATACATAATAAATACATTCATCATGGGGTACTGGTACATATACACATTGCATCTTGATCCTTTTTGACCTCTTAATCCCTCAATTATGTGTAAATAACTCCAATACAGCAAAAATTATTTAAATAAATTATCTTCACCTATACTTTTCTTAAAAATGTCTTCAATTATGACATGGTAGTGTAAAGGCTATTATCCTTACTCTCTTTACCTTTTACTTTTATCATTTCAACTCCAAGTAGACTATCTTCAAATTTTCAAAAAGTATCTATTATTTTTCAAGTAGCATCACTCATCTTTAGATTTGCTTCCAAGAATCCTCTAATTTTGTAACCCCATAATAAAAATCTTGTTTTTCTGTACCTAAAGAGGTTAGCTTTGGAGGAGGGTTATAAACCATGAAAAGAACAACAAATGTGAAATAGATGAGGTTCCTGTTAATATTTCTACAACTTCATAGAATATAATAAAAGGCTTATAAAACTAAGGTCTTTTCTATTTTATAATCTATTACCTCAAGAGTCACTATCAACTGAACTTAAAAACAAAAATTAAACAACACATGTTATATGGAACCTTTTAGAATATATATTATTTTTAAGTCAAATACAGTATGTAGAGTCACAAAAAAATAGCCCATTGTTTACACTTTTTTGTTGTAGGAAGTTTTGGATGCTTCTAAATTTCGACTAACTCCCGTCCTTTTTTTATGCTCCATATATTATTCCTAATTTTTATGAATACTATATCAAAATTTCCATATGCAACTAAGATATAGTTCTCTTTTACATAAGTTCATTTTAAGCAAGTTCATTTCACTGTTCTTAAATACTTAAATTGAAAATTGTAAAAATATAAATGTTAAGTCAATATAGTTAAACATGATTTTATCTTAATAATTTTTATCTATTTTCTTGCAGGACATAGGAAATGGCAGTTCTCTCAGAACGGTGCACTTTGGTTTGGTGTAAATAATAAGATTTTTCTAGCTACAAAAAGAAAGCTGCTTTTTTCACATCTAACTTTTTTGTGACTTGATTCAATTGAAATCTCCCTGTATAGATTTTTATAAAGGGGACTATAGTATGCAGCATAGTATAACAATAGCAAAGTCAACCTAAATAAAAACTTTTGCCTACTTATTTTCTATGTGAATGGGTATCTTTTGTTTTTTTGATACCAGGGATTGAACTTGGGTCCTTGCGCTTGTGCAGCAGGCGGCGAAACCACTGAGCTCAATCCCCAGCCCTATATGAATGTTTTTAAACTGTCTTAAATTGCTTCAAAAACAGAGTATTTATACTTTGTTCTTAGTATTTTAAACATTGCTCTCCTCCAGTCTTATTTGCATTAATGTACATTACAAATAAAACATTAAGCAAAATTTTAGCCCAGACCCACAGTTAATAGACATTTCTCCATAGATCTTTTGACTCATTGCTATAGAACACTGTATTCATCAGCCTTCTCATCAAAATACCTGATACCTGCAACTCAGGAAGAAGGGCTTATTTTAGCTCACAATTTCAGAGGGATCAGTCTATGGTTGGCTGGCTCTAAGATAGAAACAGCATGATGAAAGAAAACTACTAAACCCACAGCAGCTTGGAAACAAAGGAACATGTTACAAGAACACACCCTTCTACCTCATGCCCTCAGTGCCACCTTCTACCTCATGCCACCTCTTCAAACCAGATCCTCACCTCCTAACAGCACATTTAGCTATGAACTTAACAGTGGATTAATCCAATCACATTCTAAAATCCCCACTTCAGAACATGAGACTTCTGGGGATCATTTTAGGTTTAAACCATGTCGAGTACTGACTCCCCCTTGGAGCACAGAGACACTGTCTCTTGGAGCAAAGGGCAGGCATGCTTATTAATGGGTTGTGAGCTCCTTAATCTCCGGGTTCCTCTCCTTCAAACAGCCCACAAAGTAGCAAGTGTCATCTGGCCCTTTTCACACTGATATGTGGAAATAAGGCTCAGGAAATCAATAGAAAAAAACCCTGCTGATACTCTGGCTACTACTGGCTACTACTGCTGTGAGTAATAAACTCTTTTGTCACTGACTGCAGGGGTATATGTCTTCTACCAGCATCCATGAAGCTGTAGTTTTATAATTTGTTAGCTTGTGGTAGGGTAAAATCTAAGACCCTTCACAGTTCTTGACATCCAGACGTTAGCAGCTAATAAATACTTTACAATTGTAGATGTTTATAATATCAACATCTTGAAATACTGTGAATTAAATTATAAAATTAATCTTGTTGGAATTTATACTGAAGGCTTTTTTACCCCAGGTTTTTCTTTCTACTTCCTATTTATCTATACTTCTACCATAGGATTTCACAAAGGGATTTTTCAATATGCTACTGCTCTGAAAAAGTGTAATTCAGAATATATAAGCCAGAAGAGATAGTTACCAGCAATTTTTTCACTTTCCTATCTTTCTTTATCACATAGTCAAATTTTATTGAAAAATACAGAATTTTTGTCAAGATAGCAATGTTTCCTCCAGATTTTCTAGTATAGTTATTAACCCAACATACAAACCACATTTCCTAATCTACCATATCCTTTTGCTCATTTGACCACTGTCTTCTGCAGCTATCTGAGAGACTCGTAGAAAAGTTCAGTATTGTTTCTAGGATCTATGTGAGGAGACCATAATCTGTGCTTAAAAAGTAAAACTTCAAGCAAAATATTAAAGATAAAATATGGTTATGAATCCATCTATGTACTATATAACAGTGGTGATAACATTAGTAAGTTTGCCAGTTATGTAAGTGAAAACTAAACAAAACTTATATAAACTTACCATTTTCCCAACCTGACATGCCTCTGGAAAAATTAACTCAAATGTCTAGGAACCCAAGTTTAGATGTTAATGGTAATATATTATGGATGAGATGTGAGATGTTTGATGATGTCCATGTTTACAAATGCTATATTTTCAAAATGTTATGAATCTGGGGATGTTTATTAACACATATTCCAACAAACTGATATTCTTCCTCGGCTAGATCCTGGAAGAATTATGAATGGACTACCATAGCTCTAAAGTGAGAAGAGGGCACAGGCAAGAATAGCTAGGTAGCATTTGTTCTAGCACTGAAAGGTTCAGTGCTTCTCCTTCAGAAATACATCCATAAGCTTTTCTATGTATTCTTCAAAATTCTTGGATCTGAAATAATTTCCACAATGATTCATATTAGTTATGACATTGTGGGCCTTATTACTAGAATAAACTGTCTTTGGAACACTAATATCTAAATGTTTTGGTTCACTAAAGGCCAAAGAACAACAACTAGAGCATTATACTTTCTCTTTAAGCAGTATCTAAATATTAGTGAAGGAATTAAAATTATCCCTAGTGAAAGAAAATATTGACTAAGTTAGATACTTAAAAAAACAGCAGGTGTGAGAATATTATGACAGTCATGCTTGTCTCTTTACAGCAATAAATGAATCTCACACAGGGCCGGGGATGTAGCTGGGCTGAGGATGTAGTTCAACTGAACAGCACATGCCTTGCAAGCTCGAAGACCTGAGTTTGATTCCCAGTACCAAAAAAAAAAAAGAATTCCATATAAAAGAAACAATATATTTATCATCAAGGACAGGAAGTTGAGGGCCAAAGGAATTCTGTACAAATGAACCTAGCCTTTATCTTCCTGGCTACTTCTCTACCCAGTTTATTATCCTGGCCCAGACCCCTCTGCCTTACCACACTTTCCCAACATACTATTCTTCGTCTAATTCAATATGTAAGTAACTGACTCTAGCTGCTTTTTCAGGTAATTTTTTAGAGGGGTCCTCTGCCACATAAAACTTGTATTAAATAAATTTTATGCTTTCTTCCTATTAATCTTATATTGGTTGAAATCTTCTGCCCAGCCAGAGCCCTAAGAGAGTGGAAGTGTAGTTTTGCCATTCCTACATTAGTAAAGACTAATACAGTCAAATTTACAATTAAGATTTTATTCTATGACTATACTTATTCTTTTAAGATTTGTATGTAAAAACATGAATATAAACCAATGAAATATAGAACCTAGAAATAAACCCTCATATATATGATGAAATGATTTTCAACAGAAGTGCCATAAAGTGGGTAAAGGGTAGTCTTTTCAACAAATGGTAAGGGGGAAATAGGATATCTACCTGCAAAAGAATGAAGCTGGGCCCTTAATTTATATACAAAAATTAACTCAACATGGATCAAAGACCCAGACATAAGACCTAAAACTATAAAACTCTTAGAAGAAAACATGAGAAAAACTTATAATACATGCCAACAAAAGTAAAAATAGATAAACTGGATTCACCAAAATTAAAAACTCTGGCACATCAAAGGATACTATCAGTAAAGTGAAAAGGTAGCCTATGGAATGGGAGAAAATGCTTTCAAATCATGTAAGGGCTTAATAACTAGGATATGTAAGAATCTCTACAACTTGGAATGAAAATACTCGGGTACAAAAAACACCAAGTAATCAATTAAAAAATGGGCAAGGCTAGTGCCTGCCTGGCAAGTGCAAGGTCCTAAGTTTGACCCCAGTATTGCAAAAGAAAAAAAAAAGAGGAAGGGACTAAAACAGAAATTTCTCCAAAGAAGATACATAAATAGCCATGAAATGATACTCAACATCACTAATCTTTAGGGAAATGAAAACCAAATTGTAATGACACTACTTCATACACATTAGAATGGAAGAAGAAGAGGAGGAAGAAAAAGAGAAAGAAGTAATAGGAGGAGGGAAAGAAAGAAGGAAAAAGGAAACAAAAAGAAAGCAGCAAATTTTGGCAAGATAAACTGGAATCTTTGTTTTTGTTGGTAGGAATGTAAAATGGTATAGCCACAATGGAAAAAGTCTGACAATTCCTCAAAAAAATTAAAAATCAAATCACTATATGATCCACCAATTCTACTTCTGGTATATACTCAAATGAACTGAAATCAGGAATTCAAAACAGATCTCTATACCCATGTTAATGGCAGTATTATTATTCACGATACACAAAAGGCTATGGGTAATAGTCCTTTATGAGATATTTTAGAAACAACCCAAATGTCTATCAACAGATGAAGGGATAAACACAATGTGGTGTATATATATACACAATGGGATATGCAGCCTTAAAATGGAAGGAAATTTTGACACATGCTACAACACAGATGTACTTTGAGGATATTGTGCTAAGTGAAATAAGCCAGTCACAAAAAAACAGATATCACAAGATTAAGAAGTTCTAGAGGTTGGTTTCATAACAATGTGAAGATATTCAAGATACTGAAATATACACTTAAAATGGTAAATTTTATGTTATGATCATTGGTCACAATTTTAAAATATGTATGCATCATGCAGTTTTATATTATTATATGATGTTGAAGGGTTTGAAAGAAATCCATTGGATGGGACTGAAAGTGGGACTTACTTTACAAATTTTCAGCTGCCTTTACCAAGGATCAAAGACTCAGAAACTGGGCAGCATAATTCAGGGCAAGAAAACACTGTAAAAAATTCAGTCCATGTCTCAAAAGAGAATTTTAGGAAGCATTCACAGCCCAGGTCATTTGATTTGAAGACTTATAAACCTATGGGATTTGAATCTTCATTTCTGAAATTTATTCAAGAGAGTGAAGAGAAAGATGATGATTTTGATGATTGGGAGCCTTCAGAGCACTTAACATTAAGTAATTCTTCACCACCCAGTAGTGACTTAACAGGGAGTGTTATGGCAAATAACATGGTCAATGACAATGACCCTGAAGTTGACATACCTCATTCTTCCAGTGATTCTGCAATTCATGAGAACCTGACTGCAATCCCACCTTTAATAGTAGCTGAAACAACAACAGTTCCTTCCTTGGAAAACCTGAGGGTTGTACTGGACAAAGCATTAACAGACTGTGGAGAGCTTGCCTTAAAACAGCTTCATTATCTTCGGCCAGTGGTTGTCCTTGAAAGATCTAAGTTTTCCACACTGATTTTAGACTTGTTTCCAACAAAAAAGACAGATGACATTGGAAATCTACTGTCTCCTAAAATAACTCCCCCCAAAAAAACCTTTCAGAAGTAGTAAGGTTTTGTTAAGAATATTCCTATATTTTAATAATCTAGAAATACAAC